GATGGATTGTTCTGTCTTCAGTCCTCACTTCAAGCCCATTGAACTCCTCAACTTGGACATGCTGTTTGTTCCAAAGTGCTTAACACAACCGCATTAGATAGCTTTCATTGAGTGCAAGTTGAAGAATGGGCTACTATCCCACAGCAGTGTGACCAAGTAGCATGAATAGAGAGTGCCAGGCTGCTGTGGCTGTGTATGGTTCTTCCACATGCTACTGAAACCACTGTTTATAAAATAAAAACATTTTTTAATTGCCAAACACATTTTTTTAAAGACTTTTATATTCCAATCCAAAAAACACCACCAAACAATAGTCAGTAGTAGAATAAGCCCTTCGGCAGTGAAGATTTGGCAAATTAGCAGACTCAACACACAAATGAATTTTCCTAAGAGGGGAATACATTTTCCCCAAATACATTTTTTTAAAGCATTGTCACAACAAATAAACAATAACAAAACACAAATTTCCGCACTTTTTGTGCTTAGATTTAATTTGTATTAAATTATTGGTCTTGACCTATATGACCTGCTGCCTTTCCTCTTCACTTCTTTCAGATATCTTCAATTCTAACCATGTCCAGAGAGGTGTTTTTTGATACATTAGCCCACTTAACTCTGACCTATACATCATTCAGACAGAAAACGGTTCCTGAACTCACAGGACGAACCAGTTTGTGTCAACTCATCTCAGACATCTTAGCAAAAAAAACATTTTAAATTGTATCTTTAGGCCATTTGTTTACAGCAGCCTTTTTAAAAAACAAGAAAAAAAAATAGTATTTTAGCACGATCAAGCAGATTTCTAAAGTGCTATGAGCTGAAAATAAAAAATACAGTAGATTTGTATTCCCAAGTTGAGGTCGGGACCCCACTGTGGGTTATGAAACACCAATTAGGTGGTCTTGAAAAGCATATTTAACCTTAATTGTGACAAAGAGATACAATTAGTGATAATAAGTTTATCAGTTTATTATGGTAATTGTGGGACTTTGTTGGCATGAAGTTTAGCAACTTTTATTTTGAACTTTGAAAAGTTTAAAGAACCTAGCAACAAAGGATAAGTGTATTGGGTTTATTTGTTCTTTTTAAAATATCACTATCCTGCATCAGCTGTAGATTGTTTTTAGCACTTTTCCGTTTTCTATTACGTATGTTCATGTCCATTTTGTCGACTGGACATAAATGATTAAAAATCAGCCAAAGTCCATGACTTAGAAAGACTTTAATGGTTCTGTGTTTCCCGTGTTTCTTTCATTTCCTACTGTTCAGTTTGTCTCTTGCTTTCTGCCCTCCTGGTACACCTGCTTCTAGTCGCTAGTTACCAAACCTGTTGTGCGAGACTCTCTCTCTCTAGTATCGCAGGTTTCTTTGTTCTTCGTCCAGTCCCGTCAGAGTTAGTTTCTGTGTTACAGTACTTTGCCAATTTTTCTTTTTACCATCATTTGCGGTACCTTTTGTTTTACTCTAATGAAGCTAGTTTTTGTTTTCTCACCTGCAGTGCCGCCTGTCAGACTTCGCTTGTGTCGTCCATCCCACCACCGTGACAACAAGTATACACATGAGAGAAAAGATATCTAAGCAACCGCATGTACACAGCGTCTAACCCATTTGTAGTTAATGCGACGCACAGGAGCACATTTAACACGAACAAGCTCATCGAGTTAGTCACAGCACAAAGTAAATGTTAAGCAAAATGTTGCAAATCTTGAAAAGGACACTCTATAAGAAAAAAGGTCGGTGTCAGTGTCCCTGAAGTTGTGTGTATCACCCGCCTCCTTTCAAGCCAGAATATTTGGAATGACTCTCAGCTACTACCACATCAAGCACTTGTTCACCGAGTTGTAACCATTTTGTGAGTTTTAGTGTTTAAGATTGTCTTGAATCAAGTTGACTCCACAAGTTATTTAAATGTATATCAAATTACTGCATTCTGAGAGTTTTGTTAAAATCCAATGCTCTATAGGATATTTTGATAACGAACAGGCGCACAAACGCACACCCAGACATAAAAACACAATCGTCTACATTTGCCTTTTGGTGGCGGGTTAAGGTGTGAAAAGGCTACGACCAGTTCAGACAACTGCTGAATTATTTATTTATAGTCTGTGTTCATGGCTTCTCGAATTCACGAGGTGAGAAGAGGATGTGTCAAATGGCATCTTCGGGCCAAATGTGAGCAGGTAGGGATCACCTGACGCGAGCAGCATGGCGATACAAACTATCTTTTTTTTTCTAAATAACCAGCACAGTATGTAAAGTTGCTTTCTCATGCATAGTCAAAGCAATCTCAGGAGGGCCGACTGACACAGCTGAGTTAAAGCAGCTCTCTTTTTTTTTTTTTTTCTAAGAACCTGTTTCTCTTTTCCAGCACCAAGTTCAGAAGTGCACAATATAAACTCAATGATTTACGTCACCTGCATGTGTTTCAGTTTTAAATTAACTTGAGTTTAGTGCAAATAAACAAAGGTAATGAGACAGTTTATGTTCCCAGGTTCTTTAAAGATCATAACCAGTCTATGTATTTGTCCTTGAAAACTCAGGTATTCATACACAGACTGAGCAGCAGCCATGTGGATCGGCAGGTTGGGCATGTCTGAAAAGGGAAAAGTGCTGCAACAGTTTCTCGACTGCCCAACAATGTCATCTTAGAAGAAAATTTACAGAACAGATGTGTCGTTTTGCCCATGAAGCCTGTGCTCGTTGTGCGCTGGGAAAAAAAAAATGCAGATATGAGAAATTGCCCAGACTTCTCTCTTAATCTTGACCCGAAAACCCGCTCAAAACTGAAAAGGCCCAACCCTTCCCCGTATTGTAAAAAAAAACAAAAAAAAAACGGTTTGAACAACTGCACCAACACTTTTCTAGGAACTATTTGTTTCTTCATATGGGTAGTCAAGGGTAGAAAGTAACACACAATGAAATGAAGAGCTAATGGTGGTGGAGACACACCTGCGAGGAAACTGGCCCAATTAACCCACGACCTGATGCCAGTTAAGTTCAACTTTGGTTCAGATTCAAACACGACCTGCAACGAAATTTAATAGGTTATCGGTTTCTGCGTTTTATAAAGTTCAGATTATTTAGGGGGATGGTTTTTTTCGTTTATCACAGCTGAAAGGCAGGAAAACATGTATCTGTCTGTGTCTTTGTGTGCGTTTGTCAGTCTGTTAGCAAAATACCTCAGGAACCACTAGACAAATTTAAACTTTTAGAAAGTAATCAATAAATGCACAACTAAGTAACTGAGTCAAACCAATTCAAGATAAATAACCTTAGAAAACATAAACATGACTTTAATTCTAATTTTACTGAAATTGAGCTAAAATTTGGTGTAGTAATAGTTGTCATTTATATCACATATTTAATTTTTTTTATTTTTTGCTTAAAACTTTGACGTTACTGTACTTTTTAGGGTCAACATTGCCTGCCTCAACAAAATATCTCATTAATGAAACTCTTATTTATTCTGCCTGTAACTCAATGTTTGGAGTCAACTCAATTCAAGATGGCCGACACAGCTAATTGTACTTAAAAAAAAAAAACCTCTAAAATGGCTACAACTCTCTATATTACAGATATTGAGCTAACATTTGGTGTATTAGTAGCTGAGAGTTATTCACAACACACACTTTGAGGACCACAGATTGCGCAATATCACATGCAATCTTGCTAAACGTTATGAAATTAAGATTTGACCCAAAACACTAAAACTCCTCGGCATGAAAGGCAGCAGGCAAAATGCATTCCTTTAAATAATGACTGGTTTTTAATTGCACGTGTTCTCGTTCTCAGCTGATAAACTGCAGGCTGGAAATGGAAAACTGTGACGAACGCTGTTGGAAGTTTTCTGCAAAAGGATACATTCAAGTACGCACAATTCTCCAGAGTATTTCTTATGCAAAAAGTCCTAGATTACTGAATGCATAAACAGGATTACAAAGTCTCAGAAAGTTAAATGAACGTATAAAAAAGTTATTTTTTTGTTGCATCTCCATTTCAAGCCGTTGCACTTAAATGTGCTGCATGTGGAGTTCCTCATGCACTTTTCTTGTGCAGACCTAAGCCATGTGCCCTCTTGTGTTTCTGAGGCACCCAGGGTGGGAAAAAAAACAGCTTCAAGGACGGCAAACACACACCCTTCCCTTCCTGCAGCAGTAATGATCCCAACTTATCTTTGGTTGCACTGAAGTTAGGAAATAGGTTAATGGAATAAAGGGGGGATAGGTTAAATTTATGGACGTTTACAGAAGCTTCATGTTCAAGATAAAAATCTTTATTTCTTTAAGCATGTTCCTAAATGACACATTAGCCTGTTAATGTGCATAAATATGGAAAAAAAAATAGCTTTATGTTTGTTTGCCTACTGTTGGCATCAAGACATCACAACTCATATCAGTCTGTTTTTTATTAAACTTAAACCAGCAGCTGCCTAATGATGAGATTTCAATGAGTCACGTGCTGCCACAGTTTGTTGTCAAATAATGCATGTCACAATAAAAGCATTTGTGCAGAAAGTTTCATGAATGCTATGATCCTTGCCAGATGAGTCTGGGTCTAAATGACAAATGTTTTATAGGACTTAACTTTCAAACTGCAGCCTTTTTGTTTGTTTTGAACAAAATCTAAAGTTTCCTATTTGATCAAAGCATGTGCACTTTTCAGAATAAATATAAAGAACATACTAAACAGGAAGAATTAAAGAGCTGCTTTAATGGTTTGAGAGGTTTTAATCTTTAAAGGATGAACATGTACCCACTGAGATCAAATAAAGTCTTTCAGAAAGAGTGTGATGCAGACAGCTATTCTTGTAATCCAGTGGAGATGAGCAGCCTGGACAGTTCCCTTTAGGAAACCATTATCCCATTAGGGATACTTTTTACCTTCAATCTGCGCGCAAAAGTGCGCAAAACTAACCCGAACTAGAGAGGTCTTGATAAGGCAAATTCTTTAAAACGTTTAATTTAAAGAAGTATAAGAAAGCGTGCGTGTTTGCGTTTTACCTGCGGCTGACAGGTGGTTTCAGTCCCGCTCCTGTCCAGGAAGAGCCGCCGACGAGCGCCCGTGCTTTCCAGGGATGAAAGGTGAGCAGAGCGCGCGCATCCGACCGCGCGACGCGGACCGCTCCGAGAGACGATCGCTCTGACGGAGGCGCCCTCCGCCGCCCTGAAGCTTCACACCCGGTGAGGGGGGGCGGGGATGAGGAGCCCAGCCTCCAGCCCCACAGAACCGCCCTTCGCCTCAGTTCAGGTTCCCACAGACTGGTCTGAGAGAGACTCGTTAAACCAGTTTGTCTCACAGGATCAACAAATGAAAAGGCTTGTGTTTTAATTATCACGAAACTGAGTCAGATCAGTTACAGCTCGATATGTGGCCAGGGTGTAAATCTGTTCCAACTGTGGAGACGTGATGATGGGACATCAGACTGTCCCCCTGCTCTTGTCCTCCAGGAGCCAAACAGAACAAAGTGTTGGTATCAGACAGAATGAACTTTTGTGCCATTGTAAGTTTCTTTGTTTGTGTTCTGTATCACCAGAAAGAGCAACATTTTAGCAGGGTGTGTGTTTGTGTTTAATGGACTGCAGTTTTAGCAAAATATCTCATCAGCTAAAGGACTGGTATTAATGAGACTCAGTCTGGATGAACAACTTATTAACTTCTGGAGTGAACTCCATTAAAGATGGCCACCCTAGCTAACTGGACCC